AAAAAAAAAAAAAGATAACAGCAGTGAGGGTCATCAGGAAGGATATTTTGGGTATAACAGAAAAACAAGTAGATAAGAGTTCTTGTTCATGCTTTTTTCTTGTGAAAGGTAATTATTAGTTTGCAGTTTATCCTTTAAATGCAGACTTTGCAGGTCGGTTTCGGTTCCCTTCTCCATAAGAAACCCTCTCCCCGGCCGAAGAGAGTTGCGAGCGGGCCCATTTGCAGCTTAAAAAAGTCGAGCAGCACTTGGCCAGCCGTATCTCTCTCGCTTTTTGCATCCGGGTTTTTTCTCGGCCCCCTCATTGATGGGCTTCACTCGAGGGTGAATCTCGTGGTGTACCAAAATGGGGCGATCGATATCGGAGCCCTGGTTCTGTTCATCGAGCTAAGTGCTGAGCTGTGCAATGCTCGAGTGGCGGTCAATGTGGAAGCCTACATATTATTCGCAGGGGCAGAAGTAGCATGGCTATTGTTCGATAGGACCGTGCTTGGTTTTGCTCTTGCTTGTCTAGTAGGACTCGGTTGCCCAATAGCAGAAATTCTGATAATCGAGTAAGATGTAGAAATATGTACGTAGGAATCTTGTTCTCAATAGGATGATAGTTTCTCTCCATTTTATGTGTGTTGTATTTCAGATTGTTTCATCTGTGGTACTATCCTCGAGCAAACGTTGAAATTTTCGGACAGGTATCGTGTGTTAAGAGTTAACAGCGTGTATAGTTATTATGCTCGGTTGAGGTTGAGGTTGAGGTTGAGGTTTTCGGCTGAGTTCTGTTTTTGAGTGCAGGGGTTAGTGACATGGACCATCACTTGCTATTTTGTGTACACACCATTCTTTATAAATCTGTCCCGCTTGCTGAAATCCGCTGCTGCAGCAGATGATCAAAAGAGTCATTATAAGTCTTATTATAATATAGGTCCATAGATCTTGTGTAGATTTAAGATTTCTCTATATCATAGTGAAAGTGTTGAGATTGTTTGAATGAAATTGAGCTTGTTAATATGAGTGTGTGATTCTACTATAAAAAATAAAAACAAGTATGGATATTTCAAATTCACCCCTCAAATCATGTCCTTCAAAATAATAATAATAATAATAATAATAATAATAATAATAATAATAATAATAATAATAATAATAATAATAATAATATGAGTGTGTGATTCTACTATAAAAAATAAAAACAAGTATGGATATTTCAAATTCACCCCTCAAATCATGTCCTTCAAAATAATAATAATAATAATAATAATAATAATAATAATAATAATAATAATAATAATAATAGTTGTGATCTT